ACACAAGAGATTACACACAAAAGTGGATCTTTCACACAACACCACAAACAAGTAATTATTACAACAAATAGAGTTCTGGTAACAAGTACCTCAGTTACATTCAACATTTGCATCAAATAAAACTCTAACCCTTGGTTAATCCAAAGGGGAACTTGTAACCCATCACCCGGGATTTTAGCCCAACCTTGTGTAGCTTTCACTGCATCTGACAGGCAGGCAACCCAACCAAATTCCCAAAAGAATGCTTTAATGTTCACAAACCAGTGGTCCTTTGCTCAAGGGCTCTTGGTCCAGTTATTAGGGTCCTCTCCATGAATTCTTGGTGCCAGCTTAAATTCCACAATTCCAGGATCCATCAAGGCTCAAGAGTGGCGTCCCACCTGGGTCGCCAAATTGATACCATAACCTGGTCTGAAATAACTCTCTAAAACTCATTTTGAAGTTTTAGAAAGTAAGCATTCTTTATTGAGGTGCCAGACAACAGGAGATGGCTCCACCTAATGTGCACACTGGGGTATTTCAACAGCACTAAATATATACGGTTAAAGTATATATATTCATCACTTTCCCAAGAAATTATTAATATAGTCATACAATCTCCTGGAACTCATTTAACATATGCAATGTCCTCAGCACATGCGTCCTCATTCTTTGGTGGTCATCTACAGTCTTTCTCACGGTGTCCACTAGCTGAACTCTGCTTCTGCACGTGCTCAATCCTACTTCCCACCTAGCTTACATACATAGTTATCTAAAAAACCTGTCTGTGCTAGTACCGGCCCCTTTATCTATTCTACTCAGAGATAAGTTATCTCTGAATAGGCTTCCTTGTCTACAAACATTTGGCCTAACTACACAATTTCAGTGGGGGAAGAACCCTATGTCCTTCAGTTATTTTACCAAGAGAGCTGGCTGGTTGGCCTGCAAAAGAGGCTCACGGGACAAGAGAAATACTACAAAAATCCGGATAAAAAACACTGTTGTATAGGGCTTCCGTGGTTAGTGACTTGTCCAAAGGGATGTGCAAATGCAGTGGCAACATCAAGCCTGTGATCCAACCCTAATCCAAAGCAGGAGCCCCCCGGCAGTTAACTCAAGGACTGACCGCTTACCCCGCCGGTTTTCTCCCAGATCATGTGCGACCGGGTTTCAGCTCAGGTTTGTGTCACTGGGGGGATGCCCACCACACTCAGGAAACGTCACAGTAGCAGTTACTTGGCCTTCAGGTGGCTATAGGCAGGCAATACTGCGTTAAATAGTTTGCCACTGAGTAATGTAAGGAATGGAATAGAGAGCAAAGCTTTGTATGAGAACAGCCTGGCTTGTAACTCGAGCACGGCAACGTGGGGTGATTTTAAAGCTATAAATTCACCTTGGAAATGGGGTGTGAATCCAGTCATCAGTCTCTAGTGGAGACCAGCCACATGACATCCTTGAATACACATTGAAGGTATTTTCAGTGTCCTTTTCATGCAGGGACTGTGCATCTATTCATGTTCATAAAGGTCAGCCAAGCACAGCGTTTCATCCCTCACCAGCGGTTGCTGTATAGCAGGGGGTGCCACCGTATGATTCAGGCACGTGCTGGTTCTGTGACCTTCCCCTCTCAGCACCTCCTGAGGAAAGTAGGAACTTTTGTTCCTAGAATAAGACCAACTAAAGAGAAAGGGTTGAAATGCAGTCAAAATTTAACAGGCAGGGAAAAGCACAAAGCCATATGCTAGTTTTACATCAGCAGGGTGGTCTTTTTGGGCTAAACACAGGAGTTGAACAACCCTGATTTCTGCAATAAGTAGCTCTGGTCTAGACTAGCTCAAAATCATGTAATTGCTCCATGCTTTGAGTTTTTCTGTTTGTAAAATACACACTGGTTATGCCAAGGCACCAGGCATAGCTGTTCAGTTGCTCACTCTGAGTATGAAGTGTTGGCATTGTGTGACTTGTCACATCACTGCTTCAGCAAAACAGCTGTTGGTATCAAGCTCCTACAAGCTGAACAGGGATTCAGTGACAAGGGGACTGGATCAAGCTGATTGCAAGGCCAATATGTCCTGTGGGACTAATAGAAGGTGTAGTTCAAGGACGGTCCTTGAAATGTGGTGAGAGCAAGAAAAGGCACATGGTCGGTTTGTCAGCTAATTTTCAGACATACAGATGAGGCTCTGCAAATCTGCCTGGAGAAGCCACCTGAGATATTTTAGACACTCTGAAAAATTATCTTTTTTTTTTCACCTCCTTGTCTAGTAGAATCTAGATATACATACTGCAAGCACATATATAGGCTTTGTAGTATGTTTGACATAACACTGCATAATTCAGCTACTATTAAAATGCTTTTTCCAAATTAAATGTGTTTGTAGGCAACTAATTCTTGAAAGCAGTTTGTCAAACAGGACTTGAAGAATAAATCTCAATCCTATTCATCCAAGTTCCAGAACACCAAAAGATGAAAAGACAATCAAAGGAAGGACATTGTAAGAGGATTACAGGGAAAACTAATCTTGTTACACTTGCAAACCCAGGTCACATGTACAATGTAAAAGGAACTATAAATGTTATTTGTGTTGCCTAGCTTGGCAAGGAAGGAAAAATGGAAAGGTCTGGGATGTTAAACAGCTGCAGCAGAGCTTAGCATCGAATTTATTTTATTTCACTGGGTTTTATTCTCCTTGGCAGAAGCATGTTGAAAATCTCTTTAGCTAGGTGAGTTCTTCAACTCTGGGCTCATTGTAGCAAGACTGAACTCTGGAAGTTCCTCAAGAGGCAGCAAAAGTCAGAACACACTCAGGTCCCAATCCTCCTGTTATTATTTACTTGCAGAGGAACCTCTTCTGTGGGGCATTGCTGGCCGGAGCCGACAGCCTGGGGGAACCTTGCTTCGCAGCAGGTGAGCCGGACTTGGGGCCGCAGGACTGCTCCGCACCTCCCTCGCACGGGGGTGACTCGCTGCAGCCGCAGGCAGCGGCAGGCTGGGCTGGGCCTCCAGTCGGTGTCCCTCGGCTTGCTCGTGGGAGTCCAAGCTTACACGAGTGGCCAAAGAGAGGTGAAAGGTTAAAAGGCAGTTATCACGTGCATTTCTTTGAAAGTACCACAACCTCTGAAGAACGCTTTTGTATTATATGCCAGCCTTCACAGGGACATGTTTTCAGCTTCTTCCAAATGCCAACACCCAGTGCTAGCACAGAATCATTCTTTTCTCTGGGAAGCGGAAACCTGATGAAAGAAGAAATGCTGCTGAACTGCTAAACAAGACCTTGTAAGTCTCACGGGATGATTAAATATTTCACATGCCAGCATCCAACTGCTACACTGTTAAGTTCAGGGTTTTTGTTAAATCAGAACTAAGTATGAAGAAATCCAAACTTTAATTGAAGTGTAACCTCTGCATTCCTGACATAATAACCTAGACTAAAAACCCAGCACAAAATACCTCCAATATTCAGGAAATTTTTAATATAAATTTTAATTTTCCAGCATAAAATTTTGTAACAGAAAAAAAAAAAAAAAAAAAAAAAAAAAAAGAGCAGCCATGAAAACATCTCTCCAAACTGCTGGGTCAGCAACTTCACTGTGAAGCACTATGATGATCAAAATAAAACAGCACACTGACAGGGTATTGAAAAAAAAATCTTTGTGAGCATCTGCCAACATCATACACACTGGTCTTTTGGAATAGGAAAAAAACACAAAATTCACAGAATAAAGGTTAGTAGGAAGGAAACTGCCATAGTTTAGTTGTGGAGCCAGAATTTTTTTAGCCTGCAGCTAAAACTAGAAGCAAATAAAGACTGTGAATGACCCAGCTGAGTTTCAGCAAAAGAGACTCAACAGGGAGATGTATTCAGATTTACCACTTCAATAGGCCTATTTGCACATAAATCACGTTCTCTTTTTTTTCTTCCTAACAGACTACCTTCCAAAACTGACAGCAATGGATCACACTGTGACTGCAGCAGGAGCTTCAGGCCTGTTGGCAGCAGCTGGTTGAGGGGTGGGTCGAAACGGGTCACCAGGGACCCAAAGCACTTTTACCAAGAGATCCCAACATTCGTTTTTCCAGTGAACACAAACCTTCCCTAGGGCTGCTGCAGTTTTGTAGGTTATGACCATTGCAGTGAGTCTTAGGGTGAGCCAGAGCACTCACCTTGCAGGACTGCTGGTTTTATGCATCTCTCAGGTTTAGCCTTAAAATTGATCAAAATGTTTTAACAATATTTTCAAGCTCAGATAAACCAACTAAAACATGGAAACAATAAATGCCTGTTAGACGAGCAACTGCCTTGTTAACAGCTTTGTACTGCGAATACAGCAATTTCCAAGTGCTGTATGACACCAGTAATATTTTGCAAAATTATTGGCTAGAGTCTACAGAAAACATTTTTGGAGGGAAAGGGGAGCTTTGATGGCTTACAGATGACTCTTTTTAATTATTAGCAATTGAATTTTACATAGGTATTGATGAAGGACACTGCTCTGTCAGAAAGAGATGGAGCAAAAAGACAAAGAAAACTGTAGACCAATATGGTGTTGACTTAAAAGTGACTTTAGAAATGTTCATGTCGTTCTTTATCTTGCAAAAGTAACCCAGTGTTTTTATTCCATTTATATGGGCAACGTTGAAAGAAAATGTGCAAGAACTCAAACATATTACAAAACTTTTCAATTTAACTCAGATGGAAATGCTTTGGTCCAACAGATAAACAGTTAATCTTAATTTAGCTACAACCAGGAAGGTATCACAAGCCTTGCTAGTGGGTTCTTGGGATCAGGAGGTGTCAAGGTCGGCAGCACAGGATGAAGAGAAAAGGCATCTCCAAGCAGCTGACCTGTCTCCCAAGTGGTACAGCACCATTTTTTGCACTGAGGATGACAACCCCGCAGGGTAGTCGGGTGAAGAACAGAGGACCCCACACAGCCCTGGCTGTGAGCACAGCTTGTGCTCTGACTTTTTACCGAGTTTGGAAGAACACCTCATGGAACATTCTGTTGAAATGTGTTTCTCTCTAAGGAAAGGTCAGGTACTGCATATACCTCACAGATGCTGGAATCTGTCCATCACAAGTCAGATAATCTCAAAGACTGCTTTAAGAGATGTTACATTTCTAGGAGTAGGAATTCATGGAGAGAAGGGGAGGGGAAGAGAGCAAGCATCTTTATGAAGTAAAACCCCTAGTGGGAAGGGAGGGGCAAGCATGCCACATAGCCAAAGGCTAAACCATCTTCCTAAAAGAAAGTGCCAACAGCAAATATTGAGAGACAAGAAAATGGGAAGAAATGGCAGCATTTCACAGGGAATTTGGAAACATCCCTCATGATCCACAAGGTTCATTCCCTCCCTAGTTAGCCCAGAGGAGCATGGGCTCAAGTGCTTTGAGATGCAGCATGTGCAAGCTTTTTGCACATTCATGGTTGGAACACTTGTCACGTGTTTGTTTGAAGTGGGACTAGCTTTAATGTCCAGTCTAAACAAAAATGCATCACATTCATGGCAGAAGGCCATTAAAATCAATGAAGTTATATCCAGCTGACTAAAGAATGACAAGAGGTCTGCATCTCACCCAGTCTCAGTATCACTTCAATCCAGGTACATCTTCCCTATCTGCACACAATTATAGCCCAGCAGAATAGGGAGGGTTTAGACAGTAAAAGCTCTTAAATAACATTTTTTTCTTTTAAATAAGAATCAGCATTGGGTTTCTACATCAGTCCTTTGGCACATGGAAATGCAAGAAGTTAAACACTCACTGAAAACACCAGTTACCTTTGAAGTTAGCACGGTATAACGCTTAGAAGAGATTTAAATGTATTTAGCCTTTGTGAGTTTGAAGTAGCACATTTTCTTCAAGTTTTTATCCACTTTAGTAATTAAAATAACTTGGTGGCTCAACATTTTAATACATAAGCTCCTCCGTGTCTACTTAACAAGCTTTAAAGGGAATTTACAAACTTTTTATGCAAATGCAGTGGCAGTTTGCAGGACAGTTATACTGAATCTTATTTACAACAAACTACCGATGGATTTATTTATGCCTTCTTTCCCAATTGTTTTTTTCTAGGCAAGAGCTAAATGGCCATCTCGGTTAAAACCAAGCTACTGTGTGAAAACAGCAATGGAAGCAATACTTATTCATCAGACCACAATAGATATATCCCTATGTGATGTACTTGGTTGTGGCTTTAAAATGGTAGAACAGCAGTCTGGGAGATTGCACCCATGGTGAAATGGGGAGCATGGATTAGTGTCTGTAGAGATGCCCAGTTGTCCCTAAACAGATTTTGCATTTGGACTTTGATATGAGACACGTCGGAGGTTTTGCCCCTTAACACAGGACAGGGATTGTGTTCTTTGGGACCACTAATCTCCCTTCTGAAGGACCCCCCCCCAAAAAAAAACCCAACCAACCAACCAACCCCCCACATTTAAACATTAAAGACTCTTTTGGTTGGAAATAGTAAGGATAAAAGAAAGAATGGTAGCAGATGATCAAAGTACTGAAAGCATACTCTGTGAAGAATATTTTCTGCATCATTAACATGGGACATTTTGAAAAAAAAAAAATCTAAACCATCCTCTATTAGCAGGTTGCTAAGAAATACTGTGAAACTAAGTGGGAGCACAAGGAAAGTTTAAAAGCACTATAATTTTTTCATTTCTAATGAAATACAATTTTGTTGCATTTGGGTACTGATAGTGGTATACAATTTGTAGGAGAATAAAATACACTTTTGGATAAATCTTATTTGCCATCTGTATGCTTTTATTCAGTTCTAAACTAGAGATTAAATGAATACCCTAGAGATTTTCATTTGCTCTAACAACTTCATTTTTTTCCTCAGCCTCCTTCCATGGGATGTTCAGGTTCTTGCTCAGAAGTTCCTGGGTATTAAATAAGTGTATGTATCCACTTGGCAGCATGTCACAGCCACAGAGATGAAGTTGAGTATTTTCAGATTTGTAATCACCTCTGGAGCAGCATTCTTCGTCTGAGCTTAAACAGAGGAGTCACTTAAATATAGCAGCCCTTAAGGACAGTATTACATTAATTCACATTTATTCTGTTGTTTTTTATCTGCAGACTTTCAAAATAAAAGCAGCAAATGTTTGTCTGGTTGCTTCACAAAAGAAGATGAGTGAAGTGGTATACACACATCCTATCCTTTCCTGCAGTTTGGCACTTTTGGAAGCTCCACCATTTCTTTCTACATTAGCACTAAATAAAAACTATTTTTGACTTTGATCAGTGAGTTAGAACAGAATTTTGGTTTGATCCTTAGGCAACATAATAATTGCAGTGGAACTCTTGAGTACTATTACATTTAACGCTGAGGTATGTTACTAAAATTTGACCAGAGAACTGAGAACAAGGATAACTACCCTGATGACTCCACACTCCCCAACTGGGTCCTTTCAGATTGTCTTTATCCTAAGGAAATACTAGCTGCTTATATTCTAAACCAAAAGTTAGGGGAATGTATTTTAATATTATGGATGAAACAGTTATCGCAGTAATCCAGGCTGCTTCTCATTCTGTAGGCACATTTTCACTATCCTACAGGTCAGCATTCCCCAAAAGAGATTTTGCACAAATCCTTTAAGCTCTCCATCCTTCAACCAAGAGTGATGGATCGGGAAAAGTCATGGTTCTTCCTTTGGGGAGTCAGGACTTCCTACTATCAAATAAAATATTCTGTTTTAAAAAAATTCCATGACCAATTTTCACTGTTCCCCTTTAACTTTTATGTGGTGCAGGTTTTTGTCTCAATAGCAAACTGACCCATTCAAGAAAGCAAGTAATACTCCAAAACCCCTGGGTGACCATGGACTACCTTCCTTCTTGTACACCCACTGCAGAGTGCAACCTGGTACTTGTGCAGCAGTCTTTAAGCTTGGTAACACAGCACTGGAAAATGCTTTATTTGTCAGGTTTCATATGTAGCACATCTCCAGAGCCACTCTTTGGGTTCCTATCCTATGAGTTACAAGACATTTGCACCTCTTCAAGGAACAGTGGCATAGGATCATTCTTTTGACACAAGAGCCACTATTAGGAGCAGCTGTATACTTCTATGAGTAAGAAAAGGCTTGAAGGAAAGCAATGCAAGAGCTGCTAGAATTTAGAGGTTGGCTTAAGGCTTTGAAATTTGAGAAAATAGTAATGAGTGCTTGCTTTCCAATACCAGAAGGGAAGAACATGAAGACTGGAATCTGTCAAAGTCTAGACATGTGAGGGAGTCCAGGCAGAAAGGACATGTTCTTTGGTGAAGGAAAATGTATAACCTACTGTCTGGTCTCTGCTGATCTTATTTACAAGCTTACCTACTGGAACATCAGTGTATTTCCAGAATCTGGTTTCCAAACTTCTCAGCTACTTCCTCTGAGCCTGTATGTTCCGCATTTGGAAGTAGAATGGGCAGGCATTAAAAAAGGACCAAATGAACAAGACTGAAATGCACTGAAATTCAATGACTTGTTCTGCCACCTCACATCTCCTGTCCCTCAGTGACCTGCCTCCTCAGGAATCGCCTTCACTTACAGTTACTAAACCTGGAGCGGAGGCCCTTTAGGATCAGACCTCCTTCCTCTGCACTTCGAAGCAGCAGCCTAGGGGCAGTCCTGCTAGCAGAACACTGGCTGTATGATTTAAGAGGCTGGGATAATAAGGTGGTGAATTCTGAAAAGAAACAAATCCCTCTCAGTTGTTAGCACAATAGTTATGAGCCTGATAGATCAGACTAAATACTTTGTTTTCCTTACTCCCATTTGAAAGTGATTAAAGGGAAGTTCTCTCTAGCTGAAATAAACTGAGTATTTTGGGTGCAAAATTTCACAATTTACTAAATGTAGAGCAGATTCAGAATACAAAATAGGAAAAAATGCATTAACTTACAAAAATGTTTGTGGTAATTTAAGCAGAGTCAAATAAGATAATGCTTGTAAAATCTGCTTGTGGGAGAACAACCCTAACCAATTAAGGTATGAATAGGAGAAAGTAATTTTGGAACAGACCTTCTACTTAAATTTTCTATAATGGGATCATTACTGAAATGTGTGGCATGAAGCCCCAGCTAATGTACACTGATATTCCTATTTGGAAGCTGCAGCTCATTTACTTGCAGTCAAAAAGGTTTTTTAAGATCAAAACCAAAAGTAAAAACTTCAAAGAAAGACTCCAAAAGGGTGAGGTGTCTTGCAGACAACACTTTGCTAGTACTCAGAAATGCATGCTATAACAGACTGCTAGACTACTGCAGCCAGGGAATTTCACCTCAGTTTTCTCATATTTGTATTTTTTTCTAGAACATTTTATTATCTGTTGATCAAAAGTATCATATAAGCCTTCAGGTGATTACATATATATGTAATTATTCTTCCTAACCTTTGCTGCATCGAGCACAGATGAGATGAGAAAAAGCAAGGGACTGTGGTGCTCTGGAACTTACTTCAGCTTACCTAGAATCCACACAGTGTGACATGAGGTCTCCCATCATGAGGTTGAGTTTACACGATTTTTGATGAAAGAACCTTCTCTTGCATAGCACCTCTAAGATGAGATGCATTTAAGAGTATAAAACCAGAGGTATCTATGGCAAAGTACCTTAATTCAGGTTCACATGAAACAGCATTACAGACAAACTAATGCTGCAAAATAGTCAGAATAGGCTCTAGTCCCATGCAAAGAGAAAATTCCTAAGTAGCAGCAGATAAAGGTAGGGAGACCATTTACACCGCTATCAATGTGGTGTCTGTATTACAATATAAATTGTTTGGTAAGTAGTTTCTAAGTTGTAAGAATTTGCAAAACAAAGCCTCAACCTAGCAAGTTTCTTTTAATTTTTAAATGTACAGCATTTTAGTTCTACAAATGTAAAAAAAACCCAAACCAAAACAAAAAAACAAAAAAAACTTTACAATGATCAAAACCAACTTGATTCAATAAAATTTGGTATGCAGTTAATGTGGCCAAACTGCTTTTGATAATGCAAATAAAATGGCCGAGACAAATATTTAACTTTGAGACACAGCCTATGCAGTAACTGCTTTCCGTGACAAGAGTTACTACACGCACTGCAAACAGGTGTTTAGGAAGTGCTGCTACAGATTACCAGGTAAGTACACACTGAATGTAGTTCACATCCAAATGATACACTGTCATGTGTCGATCTACAGTGCCAGTTTTTGTTTCTAGAGGGAAAGTTTTGTTTTGTTTTGAAAGTACTACCCCCGAAAAATTACTAAGTGCAAGGCAAGGTTGTGACTCAAATTACAAGCAAACAAGGAAACTTAAAAGTAGAGACTTAAACTTTGAAATCATACCAACCTGTTGCACCAGGTTTCTTGTCATAATCATAACTTTAGTTTAAGCTCCCATTAATACAGTTGCACTAACACACTGTGGCACAAATAACAAAATGTACCCACATTACTTTTGAATTTCCTTGACCTTGCCAGGTTTTTCACATCCTCCACATTACTAAATAGTAGTTATTTATATGTAATTGATAACCATTGTACAGTTACTCCATAGCTTTACAATACTGCCCGTACTATATCACAAGCATTACAAATCCTATAAAAAAAGCAGCCCCTGTAGTGGCATACGAGAATAAATTAACCAAAAAAATTTAGTATTACCATTTATTGGTGACAAACACTACGTTTTACTTACATTCCATGGGGAGAAAAAATTCCAGCGTAAACAATGAACTGAAGCAGTACTTAACTTGCAAGGCTATCGTGCTTTACCTGGACCATATGCAAAAAACTTTATTGCGCACAGTTCAGTACGCAATAACACAACATCAAAAGCAACACAGTTTATATATAAACATAGGTAATTTTTTTCAGCCCTACATGGAGATGTAATTAAACAGTATAAAGCACTCAAGGAAAATCAATCTGCAGTTTTATATGCACTACATTGAGATCATATCCTGTAATGTAGTGAGCTGTGTGCCGTCTATACACACAATCCTTAAAACATAGATCAGAGATCATTTAAAGTCATGTTGCATTTGAGTTCCCCTACCCCCCACTCAAGAAAACTAGAAATTAACCAAAAACGATCAAACAAAGTTTAAAATTCCTAAAGCGTTTTAATTCATTCAACCGTTGGATAATTACGCTGTTTGCGAAAGTATTGGACTTTTTAAAATGGTGGGCACACAACTTGTTTCCAGTGAAACTTTGCTATTTCAATAAAAACAAAATAACCACATACATGGATATGATCTTCCCAAGTTAGTTCACAGATAACATGTCAGTCTCAGAAGACAAAGTTTCTAAACTGTGCTATTGTTCTAGATACAATTAAGAAACTTTTAAATGAAAAATTTATAGTGTCATTTCAATCAAAACAACATAATGAAACTAAAAA